ACAGGGCTATGGCCTGAGTAAAAAAACAGCAATATGGTTGAGTTATTCAGCGAATAGCGATGGGTAGGTTAATTTTTTTTTTAAACCATCAGTGGCTATGTTAATTTGCAAATCGTCAATAACAATGTGTGCGGAAAAACTGCATCTTCAATAATTCAATTTATTTCAGGGGTAAGTACGGTAGTGAAAATGTGAAACTCATACTTTTCAAAGATACATGAATCTTTTCAGAGTGACATTTCTTTGCTAATTTATAAATCATTTTGACAAGTTTTTCTTCCATGCTAATCTCATTTCCTCCCTATGTGAATTTGGGGTTTGTGTTAACTGTCGGCAATAATCAACAAAAATAGGAGAAATGAAATATTTCACTCTGTGCATAGTGAAACGATTTCATATGTGAGTTTCACTTTTTGAACTGTACGATAGAGTCAAATTAAATTGTTCACCATATTCTCATTTGCTGAGATGCACCTGCATAAAGTCTGGTCATTGATAGTGTGGCACTTTACTGCTGTGTACCTGAAATACGAATACATTAAACCGGCCCATTTGAACTCTTTTAGACCTCTCGACGACAGTGCAAAGTGGGCTTCTGTGGCCTTTTGGTTCACAAGAACAGTCGCTGATATCGGAGCCCTCATTAAGGTGATCAGGAGTGCCTAGCAACGTGCTAACCACCTTGTGATTATTTAAACAATCATTCTAGCTTTTCCGGAGCAACGTATCCTTTTCATAAATAATTGAGTGGAGAACACGAGGGCGCTTCACGAAATCCATCAAAAGATGCCCCAATGACCCCCCGCCATGCTATTGGTGAAACACGGGCGGCCATCGATTTAATAACGGCTAATAGTAGTGGTGTGAACAGCAGAAGCCAATTAAAGGCTTCACATGCTCACACAAACACAAACACACACACACACATATACGCACACACACACACTTGCAATCAACAAAAACACATCTGTTTTAACCTGTGGTTATTTTTACATGCTCTATTTCCAAGGTCTTGTCGGTGCTCCCGGGTCGTAGGCTCCCTTTCGAAAGGGTGATTAATTCAATTTAACCAGAATGTGCACATGAATGAAATGAGCAGAGTACGAAAACAAAGTAAAAAAAAAAAAAAATGCAGCGCTTAAACCTTGTTGCCAAGTAAATACATTTTTTGACTAGAAGATAACAGAAGAAAATGTGCGCTCCAACTAAAACAACACTGGTCTAAGAACACCCGTGTACTGATATCATACACCAGGGAGTGTCAAGTTCTCTGAGAGATTGCTTGGACTGCAAAGAAAAAAACTGAAAACAAAACGTGCAGCATTGAATGCATCGCATGGAACACCACCACACAAACAGCAAACATGGAGAATATCAAAGCGGACGTTGAGGTCTGCTATCTTCGCCCCTATGAAGACCGATTTGAGTCAAGTAGAGGCTGGGGGACAATGCAGCAAAGTGGAGACTGCGGAGTGACATACTGCCATGAAAACGAAAAACTGTGTACACTGTGGACTACTCGTCAGCCAATCGCAGGCCACATGCAACACCAAAAGCAGAGAATCAGGGTCTCCTGGATGCTAAGGGCTGTTGCAGCAAAGTGGAGACTGTGGAGTATAACACTGTCATCAAAGTCAAAGGCAGAGTGCATCATGGTCTGGTCGACAGCCAACCACGGGGCAAATAATGACAAACATACAACACCTTTGTCATTTCTAGCATTTTTTTTTTTTATCCTCATATGTTACAATGACAAATCTGCCCAACACACGAGCTATCAAGCAGTGGTCTAAATGCGAATTCCAAGACTGAGGGGCAATGCAGCAACATGGAGACTATGGAGTACAGTGAAGGTAACAGTGATGGAGTAATGTGTTATTTTTTCTAATCTTTCTTTGGCTGAAAGTGCAGGGTGAGGGCGGGGGGGTCAATTATTCGAATGAATGGTGTCAATTTTGGTGACATAAAACGTGACCTGGTGTTGATGCAAGGCTGAATCTGCTCATTAAGATCATCTAGTCAATGTGCGAGGAGGGGGAGAGCAGATGTGTGTCCCTGAACGCAGCAAAATGGCCACATGGTCCGTCCGGGTAGTAACCTTCAGATCCATGTTGCAGAGTCATCCTTGGCTTCTCCGAGCAAGGGCAATGTAAAGCGTGTCCTATTGCCATGACTACTTCAAATAATAACAATCCTAAACATCGTCATCATATTGATGATAGCAACACACCGTTAGAGTGAAACACGGGCGACCTTGCGCACGGTGAAGCACAATTTTGCTACGATTGCACGGGAAAGTGAACGCACCGCATGGCCAGCCAATCCTCCGTTTCACGTCACGTTTTTCCATTTACAATAATAATAATAGTAAAAATAATAATGCCACCTTTAAATGTATGTTTATATTTAGGACATTAAACGCTGAAGATGTTCGTTTTTATTAAAAAGGTGTTTTCTCACCAGCTCGTTTACTCACTAATGGTGTTAAATTGGAAAGATTAACATCAAATGAAAAATAGAGTAGGGGGGAAAAAGATACACTTACTCTCCCCATATGAAGCCCGTATGCATATGGAAGAAAGGGTCGTCAACACAGCCCAAAGCAAGACAGTGATGTTGCCCATTAGTAGTTTGTCAGGTTTCATGTTCCTTATTTCATTTGAAAAAGAAAAAAAAATCAGAATAATAACAATAAATCCAAGGGGATGTTCGTATCCGGAACGATTGATGGGGAAACAATTGTAGTCCAAATGTCTGTGTTAGCTCCTCGGCCACTTGGATTTTAAATAGAATAAATTTAAATATATCGTGAAAAAAATATCTACAAGTAGTATTATTTCCTCCAAGGTGCACTGACTGCCATGAGCGCAGCAACATGATGATGGTAATCCCCGTCTTCAGTTTCCATGTCTTCTTCTTCCAAGAACAACAAGGCCTCCGAATTTGGTTCAATCCACAATATATCAGCACTTAAATTCGACCCACATCCGCACCATCCTCATCATCAGCAGGCGTGAATGTCTCTCGCGTAGACGCGTGGAGCAAAAAAAAAAAAAAAAACCACCCAAAAAGAAAATGAAGAAGGGTGGCGGCTGTGTGGGTGATACTGCTTGTCAAAAAAAATGAATGAAAAATCCGCGTGGTGGATGCCTTGACGCCAGGAAGCCAAGCGAGCGGCACCGGCGTTCGGTGCCCGTCGTGGTGGTGCCAGTGAAGGTTTAAGGGTGGGCTCGGGGAAAATGTGCCACGCAACAGCAGAGTGGGGCTGAACGCGTGGGTACACACCGCGTCTTCTCCCGCTACCGACGTCTTTTTTCTTTAGTCGTCGAGAGAGAGGTGAAAACAAGTCCACGTTGCAGCTGCTAAAATCCCACAGTGAGAACGTGTGTGTGTGTGTTAGTGGGTCTCCCGTGGAATCTCTGCTGTAAACAAGAGTCGGCTTCTCTCTCTCACACACTCGTGCACGCACGAACTCGCTCACACGCATAGTGCTCCGGATAAGGTGGCCGGGTGGAAAAAGCGTCGTGGATTTCAATCGCAGCGTGGATGGATTCCCATCGCCGAGACGTCAGGGTTGAGTTGAGCATTTATTGGGATGGGCATTTACATACCTGTCAACTTGTACGTTTTCCCCGTATTTTATTCGTTTTTTTATCATTTCAAATCATGTACGGCGTATTACAACTTTTATACGGGGAAAAAAAAATTGCGAACCGAGCTCACAAAGACCATTTTGGCTCAAATCCAGATCGTCTCACCTGCCGGTAGCCAACGACAATGCCGTCGTCGATCGCTATTATTGTCACGGCAAACCAGCAAAAGTAATCCTCAATCGTATATTTTTTTTCATCGCTGCGTTACGGTAGGATTGATAAAGCATGATATGCGCATGCGCGGTAAACCGTTGTAAGGGTTTTTGTTGCTTTGTAAGGGGAATCGTAATCATTTATAAGGGCAGCTATTAGCCGAGATTGACAGGTATGCATTTATTCCATTTCCAGTTCGAGGAATCGTGTAGTACAGGCGTGTGCTCTTTGTCCTCACTGGTTAGACAATGCAGCGTTACGAGTAAGTAGATCGACTAGATCGCACTAGTGGAAAGATTGTGTCTCAGTACTGTATCATTGTTTCCAGCAATATTTGTGGCATTTTTAGCTTAGTATCACAAGAAAATTGGTCGCGTTTTTGTTATGAGGTTGGACGCTGTCTTAGTTAGCTTATAAGAATTTGGAAATTCTAATTTAGCTTAAAGCAGAAATAGCACACAACCAAACCTACTTATCATTGTATAGAACCAGATGACTGGGACCTTACAGAAATCGTCGTTCGATGTCATAAAATTGCAATCAATCTTCAAAGTTTATGTGAACATGTCTCGGTATGACAACGCCAACCGCCCCCAACAATTATTAGAACGATCGGCGTCAATATTGTTAATTTTATGAGCATTACGTCTTCTTCGACAGAGGCGCTGACTGCAGGTTACTGACAAAAAACGCTTAGGGTCCATAGAATCAAAATTTTGCGGCAATTCTTATGTCTGAGTTTGACGAATACTAAAATGTTATGCCTCCCACGCACAAGAAAAACAAAAGCACATTAGCACAAAGTTCTATGTGAGTATTGTCCACAAACTTGGAGTTAGTTGGTATTGACATTTAAGGTGTTCGATGCACCAAACGGTGACTTAAAGTAAATATTTCAAGTGGATATAGACGTTGTTGAAAAATGCCACTGTGTATGGATGTTGTTTTCTCTTTGGACAAATACCCTTGAGTGGATAAGGCACACGAATAACTTCTGTAGTCATACATTTTAGTCATGTCTCAGCTCACCTTTTTAAGTGTAACCTGACCAAGCAGAGGGGCAAAAGGTAGCAGGGTGTACAGCAGCAATGCTTTGGCGTTGACGCCTTCATAGTCCCCAGAACCAGGTTCTCTCGCTGGTCCAGATCTTCCAACCGCAGTTACCGTGTACAACGTGGTTTGGAGAAACAAACAAACACCAGAGTCGTTTATCTTAGACTCAATGTGAGAGGTAGAGTACCAATGGCAAACGCAAATAAAACTGATGACAAAAAAATAAAGATTCCGAATTCGTAGTGGAAAAACAGAAACAAAAAGCATCGATAAATAAAAACAAATACAGTATATGAAAGCTTCAGCGGCACCACGTCTTGCTCTACATCATTCGTAGACCCATCCAACGTTCTTGTATCGCCCTCTGCTGTCTCATCTGCGTCATTACAGTTTCGTGCATCTCCGCTCCCCACCACCCCAGAGGAACACACGCGCTAAAAAACTGCCAACGTTGTATCAACATGAACAGTATTTTAAATATTTATTTTTTGGAAAGTACAATTTTCCACACAGGATACCTGAATTTTTAATGAGCACAACTCCTAAAATAGTAGAAAAATCCAGAAGGTTACGTTTAGGAATATATCAATCACATCAAGTGGACAATGGATCAGTTCGAATTGAAAGTCTCGAGAACTGTGTGTGAATGAAAAAGGCTGTGGGTTGAATGGGGACGTCAACATTAAGACAAGTTGCCTTGATATTTTGTGGTTAAGCCCAAAAATCAGGGGTTCCCATTCACTCCAATATGTAATATTTTGTAGAAGAATGGACAGTATATAAAGTAAGTACGAAGGCGCACATGAATATGTATAAACTCAGGTTTGGCAGATACCGTGAGCCTATAACCTGAATTAAAGACAGAATTCTTTTAGTCTTTGGAGATTGGTATTGTTGTCCTCTCCTCTTCTATTGCTTCCACTTTCTTTTTGAATGCATCAAACACATCCCAGGACTGAGGAATGAGCTGTCGAGAGAAGGCCAGTTGGAAGAGCCAAGACATGAAGACGACGACTGCCAGAGAAATGAACACAATCAATGTCCTGAAGGGGAAGTACTGCGTGATGACGCCATCCTCCTCCCTCCAGCCCGGGAAGAGCAGCACAGGAGGAATCCCGAGTGCTGGCTCTCCACTCAGGACGCGCAGCAGCAGAGCTGTCACATAGCCACTGATGGCGCCATAGCAATTGCCAGAGCGAAGATGCACCACACAGAACAGCTGCGGTGTCACAACACAGTAGAGTGTGTCATTCGCTAGTACCCATAGAGCAAGGATGCTGCTCTTGTTAAAGGCCAGACAGGTTCCAGCCAGGCCCACCAGGAGCACACTAATCCTGATCACCCACTTCAGCTCTCTTTCTGATGCCTGTTGTGAAAAAAAAAAGAAAATATCATAAAAGTTGTGTTGCATTGCTCGATGCTGTTTTAGTCACAGACTGCACTGAAAGGGACACATACCTGCTTTCTCAAGGTTGACTTGTATATGTTTTGGGTGAACATGGATGCTGATGACAGCAATACCGAGTCCATGGAGGACATAACTGCTGCCGCTAGGGCACCAGTGCCTAACACTGCCACCCAGGCGGGTGTGATGTAAGACAGGGCCAGTGGCAGGACATTGCTTGCCTCCCCTCGATAATAAGGTGGGGGTAGACCGTATTCTGTCTGGTTCCAGTCTTACCGAGAAGGACAGAGCATGGAGGAGGAACATACAGAGACAAAAATGGAGAAGAAATTATTGTAATCCAGGACAAAATGATGACACACGCCTCCTTAGTTCTTAGTCGCATCGTGGAGTGTTGTGGGGTATGTGTGTGTGTACCTGCAGAAGCAGCCACAGCTCCAATGATCACCGAGGGAATTCCCATCAGAAAAGCGCAGCCGCCAGCAGCAAAACAGGTGACCTGAGCCCGGGCTGAGGAGGATGCTGCAAGAATCCTCTGGAATAGAGCCTGAGAAGCCAGTCCTCCAAAACCCTACAACGCATATAAGCATGCTCACTTCATTAAGTATGTCACTTCTTATCAGGAATGCACATAAGCACGCCAAGCGAACGGGAACTGGAAATTGTATATTAAGCTCTAGTTCAAGTTTGTCCTCATGCTTTTGCACAGTGACAGATTTTCCTTTCTCCTGCTAGTCGATGACAAGTGCGCATGTGGACACCCTGAAAGTACCGTAGATGTGAAAATGGTGTTTGTGATGGACAATCTGTGATGAGCACACAAGTTCAAGAACAGAACATTGCTCGGGTTTTGATCAGAGGGGCCGTTCTTCCTAGTCTTGCCCCTCCAGGTCTCACTGTCATCGCCCATGTGAGCAGAACGTTGCGGTCCTGAGCAGAAGGCCGCCCTATCGTCAACCAGAGTGACACCCAATGGACAGCCGTCAAGCCGCAGGGGGATAATTATGACCACATCTGCTTTTTCTGGTCCCTCACGTTAGACCTGTTTGCCATTGGCAACCCTGCAAGAGGAATGAAGCCCCACACCACTTGTCTCCTGGGTTTTTTCGAACAGACAAACTCCTCCACCACCATAAGGTCACAGCTCAGGGAGGACTGTGTATGACATGTTGAGTTCAATTGATCTATTACATTTATCTGAAGACTTCTGGCAAAAATCAAAAGAACCTGACCAGCACGAAAAAGTCATCGGTCCACTTTCCTGCGTCCTCAAGCTTCACCTGTCCTAACCAGGGAAGGCTGTTTGACTGGTTGAAATTGGTCATTTGTGAGGGATCAGTCACCGCAGGATTGAGAAACATAAATGGAATACAGAGCCACTACAAAAAAGAAACAAACACTTGTTAGACAAAGCAAAATGTGAAAAAACAAAACTGAATTTCCAAACAAAGGCCGCCTTGACATTCCTTTAAAGAACGACTGCAATCACACAACCTTTGTACATTTTTCTTGATCGCTCACCAGACTGACAAATATGAAGGACAGTTGGATGATATCGGTGTACACAACTGCGTAAAGGCCCCCTAAAAAAGTGTAGCTGATGGAGATAGCCGCGGAGATCGGAATTGAGATTGTAGATGACAGATCCAGGATGATGCTCATCGTCCCCCCTGGAATGGAAATCAAAACATAATATAAAATCAAAAGGTCTATGTGGCACAATCACTTTTGCCGTCAAAACAGAGAGCATAAACTCATCGCAAAGTTCAGCTTTGAAAGTGGACACCTCGCACATGTCTTTCTTCCGACAGGAAGAGTGAAAACGCATTTGAATGTCATTACTAACCAAGGGCAGCAAGGATGCAGGCCACCCACAGAATATCACCTAGCAGAGCAGGAAGTAATATGGCCGTCGTGAAAAATTGGCCATAGCGGTCCTGAAATGGGTCCAACATGGTCAAGTAGTGTTTGGACCTCATCGGTTTGGCAAAAAACAACCCTGCTGGAAAAACACAAAACATACAAGACCAATAAGTGTCTCGCAACAACAACAAACAGTGTCTCCAATGTCTCCAAATGTCACGTAAAATCTGCCTATGCTCTCGCGGGACACATTGAATGTTTGAATTAAATTAGTCTTACATGCCTTGAAATTCATACGTGCATCTTATGGGGACCTGCTTTTTGATCTGTGTACTGCAAGAGGTCCCCACAAAGATGGAAACACCAAAAGTGTCTCGCAACAACAACAAACAGTGGCGGTCTGAACTTCAATGGTTCTCTGTGCGAAACCTCCTTTCGTGCCTGCAAAAGCACAAAGGCTTTTCTTTTGATACTTACCAGTTAAAAAATTTAAAAAATAGGCAAGAGGCCCAAATGCCCAGGCGAGACCTCGAGTTGGAGAATAAACAGCCTCGGCAGTCCCCAAAATGTAACCTCCGCCAATCCAGGTTGCTGAGAGAAAATATAGAAACAAAGTCAGTGGTGGAAAAACTAAACAAAAAAACGTTCCTTCGTGACCAAGGTGAGATGAAACAAAAGTCATGCCTGCCATGGTGAACACGCCAGTCACAATGTTGATATTGCGTCCTCCGACGATGGCGACTTCGCTCTTTCTGCCCGAGCATTTCTTCTCCACTTGCTTTGACTTGCGCGAGGCCAAGATCCCGGTCAGCAGGATGACCACGTAAAAGAACCCCACGGCCACAAGTCCGGCCACATGCACTGCCATGCTTGCCAAACAAACACTCACTGCCAGCGGACACAACAAACGAAATGTTTACAGGTTTACACAATGGGTGTGACAGTTTCGAGACGTCAAATTTAGATTTAGTCAAATCTCACAATTTAAATAATTCGTGTTTGACTTACCACAGCAGCACCTTGAAGCAACATTATTATGTACAGTAGCAGTACTTTTTTTCTTAGTTCCAATTTACAACAAGTTTTTGTTGGCATCCAAACCCGTACCGATGACATCACATTTGTACACCGCGTGCAAAAGGCTTCCATCCCTCAGGGCTGCCGCTTCAGCTCCAGAGCCAAAATAGTCCCCAAGTCTGTTCTGTGTTCGTACACGCCTGTCCTGTTTACGCTTGCTCTAATTGCGCAAGTAAAGCTTTTTTTTTTTTTTTTTTCTTGTGACAGCGGCTATGATTCTAAACTAGGGGGAAAGAAAACCAAAGAAGTTGTCCACGATGGCTATCAAATCCGAACAATGGCATCTTTTTGTGTTTTCTTTTTGTGTGTGTGTGTGTGCTGGTCGTTAAACCTGGAAGCAGGAAATTAATCATTGTGGGTAAAGTGACATCAGCTGTAAAGGTCTATACTGCAGAGTGCAAATTGCTATACAAGGACACAACCCTTGTCTTTACCATTTTGTACCCAAGTTTCACTGAGTCTGTTTATCACTTGAAAGTGCGGACCAAGTCCTTGTCGTTACCAATGTGTACGCTTAACTGAGTCTGTTTATCACTTGAAAGTGCGGACCAAGAAATCTTCCAGAAGTGTTCTTGTACTGGTGGAAGTTGTCAGTTCGTTTTACCAACCGCCCCCGCCCCACCCCACAAAAAAACCATGTTTGATAACCTAGTAAGATCAAGGCAATCGCATGTCTTAATTTAACCCGTAATGAATTAGAATTGACTCAACTCACCCGCCTGGGAGTTGTTGAAAGGGCTTCTACCGTTGTTGATTCTTCTTTTGATGACTGCCAACCCGCCTCTTCAGTCAGGTTTATCTTCCCCTTACCTTATAATGATCGTCCTTGTAGCAAAATCCACACCCACATGTCAAACCGCCCTCAGCAGTTCCACACTTTTTTACTTTGCTTGAATGGATTTCGCAAACTAAAATATACAAAATAGTAAATGCCATGGCATTGAAATAAAACCTCCCTTGAAGTTCACTTTCCATAAGTAGTGACCGCACGGGAGTCATCCAAACATACCAAGGTCCAGTCCGTCCGTTTACGCTCTCAAAATATGAGAGTGTAAGTGCTAGAAAAGTTCAGCCTTTGGGGGTTCAAGTAAAATGTGCCTCAATATAACATTGGGTTGAGTATCCCACCCCTCAACAGGCTGCCTGCCCTATAAGATCAGAAAGCCTTTGTCTCACAATGGAGAAATTCTCAATTTTTGTCACCGAATCTTTTCATAATCTTGATGAACAGAATTTCTAGGCACAGCCGAGTCATCGAGGGGGTCCGGTTTGATGGCCTCAGTCTTGCATCTCTGCTTTTTGCAAAGAGATCTCCAACTCTCACTGGAGTGGCTCACAGCCGAGTGTGTAGGGATGAAAATAAGCACCTCCAAATCGGAAACATTGGTCCTTGGTCGGAAAAGGATGGAGTACCCTCTCTGGGTCGAGGATGAGCTCTTTCCCCAAGTGGAGTAGTTTAAGTATCTTGGGGTCTAGTTCACAAGGGAGGGCAGGATAAAGCGGGAGATCCACAGCCGCATCGGTGCAGCGTCTGCCGTGACGCAGACTTTGTATCCGTCTGTCATGATGAAAGAGCTGAGCCAAAGGCGAAGCTCTCGATTTACAGGTCGGTCTATGTTCCTCCCCTGACTGATGGTCACGACCCACAACAACAAGACCTCGGATACAAAGCAGCCGGAATTTGTTTCCTCCACAGGGTGTCCGGATTCTCCCTTAGAGATGAGAAGCAAGGTCGCACCTGCAGCAGTGCACTGTAAATGCGGAAGACGCTACCCCAAAACAGAATTGTTAAGAGTACATTAACCTTCATTCAGTGTTCACGTCACGTCATTTTATGATCCCCAGCCTTTATTGAGCCAAGTCATATATTCTAAGTTCGAAAAATTGCACTGCGCACCACCAAACAAAATTGTCACAAAAAGAGGATACATACAGGTCTGTTAGTTTCATACTTTTTGCCATCTAACAGAAGATAATGTATTTGCTCTTTCTGTCACTAGAACAGGCCGGCATAGACAGGTGGACAAAGATGCATTATTTGTTTCTTAATAAATATTTTTTTTGTTCACCAATTCGGCGAATTTCGACAATTTCCTGCTCTCAGGGTGCACTGGTTGGGCATCAATGCCCGGGAGCACGTCAAAAGCAACTTGTTTATTTGTACACTATGTCTCCAGGCCTTCCAATGTTATCGTATCGCCCTCTGCTGTCTGAACCAAGCCATTACAGTTACATGCTTCCCACAGAAGAATACAAGAGCGACTCTGCCAACATTGGTGAACAGGAACAGTGTTTCATCCATCCATCCATTTTCTCATCCGCTCATCCTCACAAGGGTCGCGGGCTTGCTGGAGCATATTTTAGCTGTCTTCGGGCAGTAGGCGGGGTACACCCTGAACTGGTTGCGAGCCAATCGAAGGGGGAACGGTGTTTTAAATATTACATATTTGGAAAGCACAACTCTCAATTCAATTAACCTGAATTTTAAAAGAGCACAACCTTCACAATAGTCTAAAAATCCAGTAAGGTAATGGCAGGAAATGAACACACCAATCACATCATGTGGGACAGTTCTAATTGAAAGTCTATAGAAATGGACATTCAGGAAAAAGGCTGTGGGTTAAATGGGGGCTTCAACATTGAGATTAGAATCTGGAGATATCATTCGTTGTCCTGACATTTTTTTTGTTTCAGACCAAAGATGAGGGGATCCCATTCACTTCTTAACACTTTGAAGAAGAATGTGCATAAGTATGCATAAACTCGGGTTTGGCAGATGCCGTAAGACTATAAAGCTGTATTCAAGACATATTTCTTTTTGTCGCTGGAAATTGATATTGATGTCCCTTCTTCTTCCATTGCCTCCATTTTCTTTCTGAACACATCCAACACATCCCAGGACTGAGGAATGAGCTGGTGAGAGAAGCCCAGCTGCACCAGATAGGACACGAGAACGACAGCCATCAGGGAAATGAACACAATCGGTGTCCTGAAGGGACAAGGGACAAAAGGGATACTTTTGATGGCGGCGCGGGCACCCTGCAGCAGCTTTCTCTTGTTGTCTGTTGAAGAGGGAGGAAATTTCAGCACGGATGAAATTTCCTCCCTGGAAATTTGTGCTGTATGTTCCACATACAGCACATTTGACAATAAAGTTGTACTTGATACTTGAAAGTACCGCACTACATACTACACTAATATATCAATCACATCAAGTGGACAATGGATCAGTTCGAATTGAAAGTCTCGAGAACTGTGTGTGAATGAAAAAGGCTGTGGGTTGAATGGGGACGTCAACATTAAGACAAGTTGCCCTGATATTTTGTGTTTAAGCCCAAAGATCAGGGGTTCCCATTCACTCCAATATGTAATACTTTGTAGAAGAATGGACAGTATATAAAATAAGTACGAAGGTGCACATGAATATGCAAAAACTCAGGTTTGGCAGAGTCTATAACCTGAATTAAAGACAGAATTCTTTTCGTCTTTGGAGATTGGTATTGTTGTCCTCTCCTCTTCTATTGCTTCCACTTTCTTTTTGAATGCATCAAACACATCCCAGGACTGAGGAATGAGCTGTCGAGAGAAGGCCAGTTGGAAGAGCCAAGACATGAAGACGACGACTGCCAGAGAAATGAACACAATCAATGTCCTGAAGGGGAAGTACTGCGTGATGACGCCATCCTCCTCCCTCCAGCCCGGGAAGAGCAGCACAGGAGGAATCCCGAGTGCTGGCTCTCCACTCAGGACGCGCAGCAGCAGAGCTATCACGTAGCCACTGATGGCACCGTAGCAATTGCCAGAGCGGAGATGCACCGCACAGGTCAGCTGCGGGGCAATAACACAGTAGAGTGTGTCGTTAGCTAATACCCAAAGAGAAAGGATGCTGCTCTTGTTAAAGGCCAGACAGGTTCCAGCCAGGCCCACCAGGAGCACACTAATCCTGATCACCCACTTCAGCTCTCTTTCTGATGCCTGTTGTGAAAAAACAAAACCAAACACACACGCACACACACGCACACACAAAAACCCATCATGAAAGTTCTGTTGCATTACCCCTTGCTGAGCCATTCACACACACTCATACCTGCTTTCTCAAGGTTGTTTTGTATATGTTTTGGGTGAACATGGACCCTGAAGACAGCAATGCTGAGTCCATGGAGGACATAACTGCTGCTGCTAGCGCGCCAATGCCCAACACTGACACCCAGGTGGGTGCGATGTAGGACAGAGCCAATGGCAGGATATTCCCTGCTTCTCCACGCTCATAAGGTGGCGGTAATCCATAACCTGTCTGGTTCCAGTCTTGCAGAGAAGCAGAGAGCATGGAGAAGGCACATACGGAGATAAAGATGGAAAATCATTGTGAGGAAGACAAAGTACAGTGTAAGTGGCCTAGTAAGTTCTCCTTTATACTTTACATCAAGTGTGCCCAAACCTTTTGGACCGAAGATCGACTTTTCGAGCAACCAACCCCCCGCGTTCGACCCGTTTCCGCGCACGCACACACACACGCACGCCATGATGAGCAACAGCCGGACACGGAGGCATGCGACGCACTTTTGCAGCCTGTTAACTATCGTAGCTCACGCATACCATTTGAAAGTGCTTGCCCCCGGCCCTCTAGATTCCTATTCTTTTCCCGTGTCCTCGGTGAATTGTACACGAAACAAACTCTGAATGAGAATAATGATAACAATAAAAGATTTAGCGCACAAGCTGCAATTGCAGACTGCTGAGCGCTAACAACTTCCGGTGACGCAGGTCACGAGCCACCGCAGGTTAAAGATTTACCTGCTTTATTTTATTTCTTATTTTTATGAATACTTTTTGTGAAAATGAGACTGATCGGATGATTACGGTGCAGTGTACATTAATACAAAAAAAAATATATTACTAACATGCACAAAGACACACAAATGGTTGTTTCTTTCTCTTTTTTTCTCCTCTACAACCCTCGCGATCGACTTGGGACCAGTCCGCGATCTATCGGTCGATCGCGATCGACGTAATAGGCACCCCTACTTTACATGGGGGAATGTTGTCGTGTGTGTGTGTGTGTGTGTGTGTGTGTGTGTGTGTGTGTGTGTGTGTGTGTGTGTGTGTGTACCTGCAGAAGCAGCTACAGCGCCAATGATCACTGAGGGGATTCCCATAATAAAAGCAAAGCCACCAGCAGCAAAGCACGTGACCTGAGCCTGGGCCGAGGAGGATGCTGCAAGAATCCTCTGGAATAGAGCCTGACAAGCCAGTCCTCCTAAAGCCTACAACACATATACCAGTGTTTTTCAAACCCTGTGACACGGCACACCGGTGTGTGCCGCGAGACATTGTCAGGTGTGCAGCGGGAAAATATCCAATTTGTATGCTTGCGAGGTCTATCGCCCAGAAAGTAATCGTGTACTACCCTCCCGTACCGCTAGGGAGCAGCAACAGCTAGTCAATTGCTTTGTGTTTAGACGAGGGACAAGCGAATTTATGACGCATGAATGCAGGACGACGGTGAAATAATAAATATGAATGAAAGCTTATGAAATACTTTTTTCTTTGTGTTCATTTCATTCCAATTCAAACTATTATAACGCCATTCTTCAATGTTAAAAACGGTTATCGTAACAATATAACACGTTAATTGTTAAAATAAGCGTTTTTAATTTTTTTCCACATTTTCAGCGAGTGGTGTGCCGCGAGATTTTTTTCAATGAAAGAAGTGTGTGTGCCTTGGCTCAAAAATGTTTGAAAAACAGTGACATATACAGTAAGTATGCTCAGTTCATCAAGTAGTTAGTCATATTTGTATAACTCTAATTGAAACTGACTTTGTATATTCAGTACTACTACTACTAATAATAATGTGAAGTGCACTATATATAAAATGTATTAACATTTTATACACAGTGCACTTCACATTTGGGGAACAAATTGTACAGCACAGGCAACAATTAAAAGTAATGAAATAAAACAACAGATAAAAAAGGGTGGGTGGGATCAGTAAAAACAAAGAAGGTCTTTAGTGCTTTCTTCAAAGCATTCACTTTCTGTGGGGTGCTGAAGTGGTCGGGAGGGCATTCCACAGATGGGGAGCAACAGCCGCAAATGCCCTGACCGGGTTCTAGCTGAGCAATGTCGGTTTGGTACGCAATACGGAGGTGTACAGGAAGCCAATGCAGAGTGCGCAGGATGCAAGTGATGTGCTCATATTTGTGTGATAAGCCCATGGGAAGCCTATTTCCATTTCTGGCTGTGCCCAGCTGGGTCCCATTAGTGCAGGCCCGGCCGCCATCAAGACAACAGCCGCACACCCTCGGTTGGCTCCAGAGTGGGGTTTTGGTGACTCATGCGGCAAACAAGGTTCAACATTCATTCATCATGAAGGGGCTTTGAGCAATACTTTTTCTGGTCTCTCACCTCGGACCGTTCCACGGGTAAAATTCACACACAATTTAGCTCCTAGGATCACTTAAACAAAATCTTCCACCACAATAAGGTGACAGCTCAGGGAGGAGTGTGGCATTTAAGTACAATTGATCGATTCCATTTTTATGAAGATTTCTGGCAATAAATAAATAAATAAATAAATAAATAAATAAATAAATAAATAAATAAAAAGAATCTGACCAGCACGAAAAAGTCATCGGTCCACTTTCCTGCATCCTCCAGCTTGACCTCTCCTACCCAGGGAAAGCTGTTTGACTGGTTGAAATTAGTCGTTTGTGAGGGATCAGTCACCGCAGGACTGAGAAACATAAAAGGAATAGAGAGCCACTACAATAAAAGAAACAAACACTTGTTAGAGAAAGCAAAATGTGAAAAAACAAAACTTGAATTTCCAAACAAAGGCTGCCTTGACATTCCTTTAAAGAACGACTGCAATCACACAACCTTTGTACATTTTTCTTGATCGCTCACCAGACTGACAAATATGAAGGACAGTTGGATGACATCAGTGTACGCAACTGCGTAGAGGCCTCCTAAAACAGTGTAGCTGATGGAGACAGCCGCGGAGATCGGGATTGAGATTGTCGCTGATATATCAAGGATGATGCTCATCGTGCCCCCTGGAATGGAAATCACATGCAAAATTAAATCAAAGGTGAATGTGGCTCAATTTCATTGATTTTGGGACTCTCACTTTTGCCGTCAAACAGAGAGACAAATAAACTTATTGTTTGGCATGAAGCTTTGAAAGTGATTCTTTTGAAAAAAAATCCAAAATGTCGCCGTAGGTGGCAGCCGGCGCCAAGAGCTCTCCAAGAGCTTTGCTTTTTGTTGCTTTTGTCTTTTGTTTTGTCATATGGTGTTTGTTGTCTTTCGTGTGGACCCGATATGAACTGTTTTCAGCGTTTTGACCACAACATTCGTCGAAGGAGAAGAATCTGTGCTTGGTAGTTGGGCCTTCTCGGCAGCACGCGTGTACCAGCACTGATTTTGATCGTGAGGAATGTCGGTGCTATTTGACTGTCGCTGCTGGACAGCCCCGGAGCACTGTTTTTTGCGCCGGTAATGGGCTGGGCAGCATTTTTCGCAGTCCTCATTTTGTTCAGCATAGATGTTGGCGCTGTTGGACTTTCTGTATTGGTGCGGCTGGGGAGATGCCTTTTGGAGCCCAGGATGAGGAGAGAGGAGCGTCGGAGCAGAGCGCAGATGTGTATTTGGAACTGAGAATCGTCGCTTGGAATTGAAGCAGATTTCCATGGATCAGGAGAAGTGAACCAATGCCTTTTTTCGTCAATGGACGCTCGAGCTTCTGATTTACTTTCAGACTTAGCTTGTAGCAGATGTGAATGGACACTTTCATCTAGAACTGCTTCAAACAACAAAGCGTACGTGGTTAAGATTGTATGACTGTCCGTGTATAATGTTTTGTGTTGTCTTATATTATTTTTTTATTTTATGTTCACTGTTCTGGAAAGCGCTTTGTTCCAGCTTCAGCTGTTGTGAAAGTGCTGTGCTAATAAAGATGTACTGGATTGTGTTTTGTCACCTGGACATGTATTTCTTCTGACAGTCAGAGTTAAAATGCATTTGAATGTCATTACTAACCAAGGGCAGCAAGGATGCAGGCCACCCACAAAATATCACTGAACAGAGCAGGAAGTAATATTGCTGTCGTGAAAAATTGGCCATAGCGGTGCTGAAATGGGTCCAACATGGTCACGTAGTGTTTGGACCTCATCGGTTTGGCAAAAAACAATCCTGCTGGAAAAAACACAAAACATACAAGACCAATAAGTGGCTCGAAACAACAACAAACAGTGTCTCCAAATGTCATATAAAATCTGATTATGCTCTCGCGGGACACATTGAATCTTTGAATTAAATTAGTCTTACACGCCTTGAGATTCATACGTGCATGTTATGGGGACCTGCTTTTTGATCCGTGTATGGCAAGAGGTCCCCACAAGGATGGAAACACCTTTCTGTCTCCAAAATTGTGTTGGAGGGTTAGTGTTCATATTAAATGGCTGACTTCAAAGTCAAGGCTTGAGCCCACGATTGCAAGTGTAACAAGTGCACGGCATCATCAACATTATAGTTGGAAAAAGAAAGCAGCACTTTCTTTGGGTAACAGCAGCCTCCATTGGTAAAATTATTGTACTGCAACACCCAGAGCAAACCCAAAACGCTCAGAGACTTGCACAGACACACAGTATATCAAAAGACTAAGCGCATGCAAGCCCCAAAAAGACGGTAAAAGCATGGATTGTATTTTCATCCAAACAAACAATCAAGTGGGTGCTGCATATCTGAGGCTAACCCTGTGAGCTAAAGCTAATCTGTGCATCCAACAACACCGCAGCTCTGCTAAGCTTTTGGCTTTGACAAATGAGTGTAGTGTATCCCTGTCGTTTGTCATGCATGGAAAAAGTCAGCATTAGGGGGAGGTATTATGGAACTCTGGAAAACTGTTGCAGCTCGTGTGTGCTAGTCATTTTACAGTCCAAACATATACAAATATTTTTTTCTGTTTCTAAAAGATTATCTTGAGCCAAGATCCCGTGTTGTGGATTCATTAAATGTAAAAAGCACAAAGGATTCTTAGGTTATATTTACCAATAAGAAAATTCAAAAAATACGAAACAGGACCGAAAGCCCAGATGAGACCTTGAGCTGGAGAGTAAACCGCCTCGGCAGTACCCATTATGTAACCTCCACCAACCCATGTGGCTGAAAGAAAACAGAAATGAGAACAAAAGTCGACCATAAAAAATAAAAAAAATTAAAAAAAACTTTAAATGACAAATGAAGAAACAAAAATCTTACCTGTCATGGTAAAGACGCCAATCACGACGATCATATCGCGTCCCCCGACGATGGCGACTTCGCTCTTTTTTCCAATGCATTTCTTCTCCACTTCCTTTGATTTGCGCAAGGCCAAGATCCCAGTTAGCAGGATAACCACATAAAAGACCCCCACGGCCACAAGTCCAGCCGCATGCACTGACATGCTTGCCAAAGATACACTGGACAAGAACAAACACAAGGTTTGCAACCTGAATTTTTAAGGCAATAACTGTAAATGTGCCACGTACAGTGTTGAGGGCAGTAAATTCTCCTCTTGGCCAATAAAACGTTGCCGCATATTGTAGTGTGAAAACTAAATGATTATGTCCTTATCGTTACCCATTTGTACCCAAGTTTTACTGCGTTCGTTTACAGTTTGACAGAGAGAGCTAATAATTTAATCCCTCCTGAAATGTGCTTGTACTTGTAGATGCTGTCAACAAGTATTCGGGTTCCGTGCCAAAGTCACGCAGCGGGTTTGACCAAGCACATTTTTATTTCATTGAAACTTGACGCGGCCTCACGGTGGTCGACTGGGAGGAACGTCTGCCTCACAGTGCAAAGGTGCAGGGTTCGATTCCGGCTCCGGCCTTCCTGTGTGGAGTTTTAATGTTCTCCCCGTGCCTGCGTGGGTTTTCTCCAAATACTCCGGTTGCCTCCCACATTCTGAAAAACATGCATGACAGGCTGATTGAACACTCAAAATTGTCCCTAGGTGTGAGTGTGAGCGCAAACGGTTGTTCGTCTAAGTGTGCGTTGATATTGGCTGGCAACCGGTTCAGGGTGTCCTCCGCCGACTGCCCGAAGACGGCTGGGATAGGCTCCAGCACGCCCAGCGACCCTTGTGAGGATACAGCGGATCAGGCAATGGATGGATGGATCGATGAAACTTTATGCAATTGTTGATCGTGATGGAACAACATAAAATTTCCAATTTGAGGTCAATCTGGAGCAGGGCTTTGGGAGCTACGGCCTGCCGAATGTGGACATTTTCTTTAAGAGGCATGGCCGCCTTCTTTTGAACCCTTACATCTCGGGAAGTACTGGGTCAATCTTCTCAAAACAGGTATTGTTGGAAACGGGATTCGACAAGGATTGCAAATCTGCAATGATCCATCGTCTCAAGGCAGGTGTCGGACTGAAGGCCCGGGGACCAGATCCGGCCCACCACTTCATATTATGTGGCCCACGGAAGCAAATTTTGTGCATCAACTTCCATGATTCTTGCTGAAAACAATATTTTGGAATATCATATGTAGAAATAACACAGATATCGCAAGTGGGTTTTGTTACCGAGCCCCTCTTTACAGTAACTTGAACAACAGTTGAACAAACGTATATCATGGGGGGGATTTGGCATGGAATGACCCATTATGCCGCCCCCCAAAGAAGCAAGATGTTGACGAGCATAAACACTCAGTCAAAACAATGTCTGCGAAAGGATGTAAAGTTTGTCTGACGGCCAAGACTGAGGGGTACATTTTAGTGCCGACATTTTTATTTATTTATTTTTTACAGACAGATCAATTCCATAAGTCCCAACGTCCAGGCCATTTTGCAACGTTCCGGAATTATCCGGATAGGGTTGGATCCAACAAACGTCAGACAAGTATCCGATTATGGTCCAAAAAAAACGTTTATTAACAAAGCGCAAGACCAAGGAAGTACAAATAATGACGCTGGTCATCACACCAGGACGAAACAAGAGAAACAAAAGGCGCTTGGCCGCTTGCAAAAGGGAAGGAAAATACAAACGGAAATTGCTTGTCTCTCAATGAAAAGGGATTCAAATCACAAAAAATACCAACCGAGTTCATTTGAGGTTCTAGAACAGGGTGGTCAAACACAGGTCCTGGTGGTCCGCAGTCATGCATGTTTTCCAACTCTCTCTGTCGCAACACACCTGATTCAAATGACCAGGTTCAATGTCAGGTCAGGTTTCTGAAGAGCTTGCTGATGATCTGATCATTTGAATCAGGTGTGTTGCAACAGGGGAAACTTGGAAAACATGCAGGGCAGCAGCCCTCCAGGACCTTTGTTTGACACCTCTGTTCTAGAATACTGCATGTGAACAATGGCTTGAGAAAGGCGAATTAACCAATAGCCTGTGGTCGGCTTGGAAATCATTGAATAGTCCGTTGATAATGGTGGGAAAACAGGTGGTCAGCTGGAAAAATCGGAACACCTCTGTCTGCCACCTGCTGGAGACAAACAGATTCTGAATCATGACACATTCAAAGGTCCCTCGGAAGGACACAGTTCACTGAGGTCCTTGCCAAAACATCAATCATGATTTACTTTTATCTTTCAAAAGACAAAGTTCACTGAGGTACTTGCCAAAAAAATCAGGGTTGATTCACTTTTATCTGTTTGTGAGAAAATAAAATGCAGTCGGTCCTCCGCTTGAAGTCAGCTGGGAGAAGCTCCAGCACGCCAACCCACTCACCCAGTCCAGTTCAGGACAAGCAGTGTTGAAAATGGATGGGTGGATAGATAATTGACTCAGGCAGGCGAGACGCAAAGTTCAACCCTTTATTTAAAGTAATGACCCATCTGAAGTCCCTCTCATCTGACATTGTTTTACCAAGAAACTCTTCTTGCATGGCCACAATTTCGTCAGGGGGCGACTCTGCCGAAAATCTGAATTGATATTTATGGTCTGAACTTTAACCATGTGGTCTTCTTTAGGACGGTGTTCTCTCTCATAAATAATATCTCACAAAGAAATTGAATTTTAGGAGCTGATCTTACCTGTACTTGGATAATACCTCCACGAAACAGGCTTCATTCGATTCAATTACCGATTAAAAGCATACATGAGTAACTCCAAACTATCTGATTTGTGTTATTTTTGTTTTTTTCCAGCCAGCAGAACTGGACGACTCTTTTCACTCACATGTTCATAATGCAGAGTACACACCCGCATTGACTTCTTTCTGATCGATTCCATCATTTAAAAGAACGTTTGTTTTTGGTTATCCAAACATTAGTTTCGAACCAAAACCAAAACTATCATTTTGAGAACGTTCCATGTTACGCAGCCCCGAGTAACACTGAACGTCTAATGAAGGTTATCCGACAATGAAATTTTGGATATTGATTGCCATGCAAGTTTACAAGTGTACATGCTGTACCGTTGCAGTTCGGGACAACATAGTTCTGTCTCTCAGTCTTTGCAACCAAATGTATTTTTTACAAACAAACCTCCGAATTCACTTTGCATTTTTGTTGTTTAAATTAGTGATGCATGCAGTCTGTGACATAGACTTACGGAGCCAGATGTTCACTTGCACATGTACAATGTATTATTCAAATTGCACCACTTCCCAGATACAGTATATGCAATTTTAGCACACACTGAAGTTTTGGCAGATACGATTACCGTATTTTCTACACTAAAAGGCGCACTGGATTATGAAGCGCACCTTCAATGAACGGTCTACAGTAGTATAGAATTTTTTTCATATATTGGACGCACTGGATTATCAGACGCAATCTAGAATGCATCCACTAGATGGAGCTACGCTCCTTCCTTTCGACTCGAGAAGCGTTCATGACCTGTGTGTGCATCTCGAATGGAACGGAAGAAGAAAAGGCACAGAGATGGACAAAGACGGACAGTAACTGTATTTGTTGAGACTGTGCAAACCATTAATCAAGTGTGCTTAAAAAAAAAAAAAAACACCACAGCTCTCCTTTTTTCAAAGCTGCAACAAAAACGTATGCAATAAAACAGCGACACAGTTCACTGAACGAACAGCAAGTTCTAACATTGCAAGCATATCTCCAGCGAGCTATTCTTGGGTCGACATATTACCGTAATGAGCGAACACAAGGAGCACCGGATTTTAAGGTGCGCTTTGAGCTTTTAAGAAAATGGAAGACTTTTCGGTGCTCCTGATTGTGCGGTAAATACTGTAAGCTAAAATGATGTATGAAGGACCAAGTTCTTCCCCTCATGAGCAAGTGGTGTTGGTTTCTCGTCCTCTTCTGCCTCAATTTTCTTTTTGAAAACATCCAACACATCCCAGGACTGAGGAATAACATTGTGATTGAAGCCCAGCTCGACCAGGCAAGACACAAGAACGACAACCGCCAGAGAGATGAACGCAATCAGAGTCCTGAAGGGAAAGTACTGCGTGATGACGCCATCATCTTCCCTCCAGCCCGGGTAGAGCAGCACAGGAGGGATGCCGAGTGCTGGGTCGCCGCTCAGCACACGCAGCAGCAGAGCGACCGTGTAGCCACTGATGGCGCCATAGCAATTGGCAGATCTGAGGTGCACCACACAGACCAGCTGCGGGGTCACAACGCAGTAGAGTAGGTCAGTAGCGAGCATCCAGAGAGCAAGGATGCTACTCCTATTGAATGCCAGACCGGCCCCAGCCAGGCCCACCAGCAACACACAAATCCTGGTGACCCACTGCAGCTCTCTGTCTGACGCCTGTGGGTTAATAAACATGATGAAATTGCTCTGCCGAAGCACAAAACCACTCACCGACATAAACACACACCTGTTTTCTCAAAGTTGCCTTGTATATGTTTTGCGTGAACATGGACGCCGATGACAGCAATGCCGAGTCCATGGATGACATCACTGCTGCTGCGATTGCGCCAATGCCCAACACTGACACCCAGGTGGGTGTGATGTAGGACAGAGCCAGAGGCAGGACATTCCCTGCCTCTCCACGCTCATAAGGTGGGGGGAGACCGTATTCTGTCTGGTTCCAGTCTTAGGGAGGAGGGGGCGTACAGAATAATTGAAAAGACATTAGAACTTGTTTCACATTTCTTTAACAACTCTGTTGTAATCTGATATCACATTGACAGTCAGATGACATGAGTTGTGGGGCCTTCTCCACAAATTCACCGATTTGGGTTTTGTTCCTGTGGAGTTTTGTTTGATTCAAATTTAATTCCAGTTCATCAAATCTTTTAAATAATGTTTGGAAGTAATTAATGCCAAAAGTTGGATGAAAATGTCAATTATTCAGATAATTTACATGTCATTTATGTCCAGATGAAAAAGTATAGGTCCCAACATTGACCCCAGGAGGACACCATGTGTTACATCAAAAACACTGATTTGTATTATTCTAGTCTAACAAATTAGTGCCTACTCAGCACTACCCTTCGAAGTTTTTCCTTCAGAGGCCTACCTTAGCGTTGACCACACACATGGATTTGCATTTTGCAAAATGAGCAGCGATAACATTTGCGACTGTGTCACAGACCGTTTTCCAAGAGAGGGATGTAATTTTTATAGACACAACACAAATTTACAAGTGGGTTCACAATC